GATGAGGATTCGTATGTTTGAGTAAAACTAAGGATTGATAAGAAGAGTTTAAGAATGGGTACATCAGTGACCAGTTTATAAAATAAAGGAAGTTAAAATGCTGAGTTGGAACAACGGAAATTACATGGTGTATGAGAATAAATCTGGATTTGATAAGTTAAGTAAACTATCGCTGAGATAATTCCGAATGAAAGGAATGTATATGAATTGTTCGATGAAGGTTTGTGTTTTAGATTAGAATAATTGGTGATGACTAACATAATTATGTGATGATAAGTGTATTAAGTTAAAGGATTAGAAGATGTTGTCAGGCTAATTTAACTAAGTATGGTGTGAATTGAGACATGATTATGTATTTTGATCACAGAAATGTAAGGTAATGGAAGAGACGGGAGAATAGTAATGTATATGAATAAGAGTGTGGGTTGCATAAGTGAGTAAATTGCATTGGTTGGATTTCAACTGATAAGATGAATATGAGTAATCTGATTAGGGCTTATGCCCTAAATTGAAACATTGTTATTGATTAATTGTAATAGTATGGATAATAAATTTATTAGATTTGGAGAAAAGATAAAGTTAAGTTAATCAAGTATGATGTGGATTTGGATATTGTTTTGATCATATAGATATGATGTAGGCAAGGAAATAAGTATTTGTATGTTTAAAAAGGGGGCTTTGAGGAAGGAAATACAAGTACAAGAAATGGTAAAGAATGAGGTTCTATATAAGTAAAGTGGATTATCAATGTTATGAAGATGCGATAAAGATCGGTAATCAGAGATGAGTATAAATGATAAGGAAATAGTATGTGAACATTAAAGAAAAAGATATGATATGTATAAGAAGATTTTGATTTTGAATGAAAGAAAGAAAGAATAAAGGGAAAGGAAAAGATTGTGTGTATAGTAATACAGACAAGGATTAAGAAATGAGCAAAAGCTTGATTTATGTGCAAAGCACATAGAGAATGATGGAAAAGATCAATTGATCCATAATATTAAGAAATAAGGATTTGGGGTTGTTGTCCATATAATGAATGATATTATATGGACTTATAAAGATGTGAACGTATATGAAGAATTGAGTATGGGAAAATGGTAAGTATATTAGTGGTAACATGAAAGATTAAGGGAAGCAACATGAAAATATTAGAAGTTAGGATATTATAAAGGTATGCAGTGAAAATTCGAGGACGGATTTTCTTTAAAGGATGGGAGATTTGTAACATCCTCGATACCGGGTTAGTGACCAAATTGAAATATTTTGAAATTTGATGATTAAAGTAGAATAATTGAATAGTTCAATGATTTATTTGGAAATATTTCCTAAAAGTTGTTAGTAATTATTAAAGGAATTAAAGGGCAAAATGGTCATTTGATAAGGAAAATTTTTATGTTCCTTTTATAAGATAAGGGAACCACGTGGGAAAGGAGAAAATTCTCCAGAGTTTTCTTTCATCTTCTTCCTCCTCCCGTATCTCCAAGCTCAAAGGTGAGGTTCTTTGCTTGTTGATTAATTATTGATTTTAAGGTTGGGTTATGATCATTAGATGATAATTAAGCTTAAGGAAAGCTTAATTTGTTCTAAAACAACAAGATGAAAGATATAGAAGAGATTAAAGAAAATGAGTTTTTAGATGAATTTCTGGAAAAGAGTTAATAAGTAAAATTTGAGAAAGAAATTGACATCACTAAGAATAAGAGATTTATGAAGTTAGAAATGATTAATAACAAAGTTGAAAGTTTATTAAGATTCTTAATTTTAAGAATCATGATGAGATATGTAAGATAGAGATGGTTTATATGAATGCAAGTTGGTTTAAGTAATGGTAGTTGAGTTTAATGACATGATAGGGGCTTAAAATAGAAGAATTGAAGGAAGAGTTAAGGATTTCAAGTGTAAAATACAAATTCTGGGCAAAGTGTATCGATGCACATTCAATGTGTATCGATGCACTTTCAAATAAATGAACATGGAATGCAATTAGTGCATCGATGCATAAGGAGTGCATCGATGCATCCTCTTAAGAATAAAACATCGAAGGTGAATTGTGTACCGATACACAGGTAGTGCATCGATGCATACGTTAAGGAATGCATCGATACACTGTAGAGTGCATCGATGCATACCTTTATTAAAAGATGAAAATAACTTTATTTTAGCCTAAGAAAAGATAGATTAGAATACATCAATTGGATACTGATATGTATCAATGTATTATTATATAGATATCGAGCACGAACAAGTTCCAAAACGATTATCAAGTTAAGATTCGATCGATAGAGAGGAAAATCATAAAAGTGGATTGGAACGTAGTGAGGCCAAGGTGAGTGTATACAAGTTAGTTTATGATGTTTAATGGAAATAAGACTTGTGACGAGTCTATTTCCTATATTAGAATGCATGAATTTATGATCAAATGCATATGTTTGATTTGGGTATATATGATATATATTATAGTATGTATTAAATGATTTGTGTGAATACATGTAGTGTGATAAGTTATAGGAATTAATATGAATAATTTATATGATAACATGGGAATGTGAAATAGGTTATATGATAGGTGACCATACATGTTACATAGTAAATGTGATCAATTATAAGAATCAATATAATAGATTTATATGACTACGTGAGAAGGGTAATGAGTTAAAAAAGATTAGACTATAGAGTAATATGAGAATAATATATTAGTGAAGGGAATTGAGTATAAATGATGATGCCAAACTATAAGATAAGTGTTATAGAGAAGAAGTATACTTAAAGAGAATTATGGTATAGGAGTTATGTAAAATTTAACTAAATAAATAGATTAACTTATTATACAAATAATATTATATATGTGATATAAATTATATGTTATGGTATAAATAATTATGAGAATAAATTGAAAAATGAGACAAGATAAGTATTTACTTATAGGATAATATGAGATTATAAGAATATTTAGTATAACTTTATGAGGAAGAATCGGGTGTTATATGATTTAGGCATGGAAATGATCTATGTGTAAGTAAATTACGTAATTATGTGACTATGTGTGAAATGGAGTACACTAGGTAATTATAAGGTATGTGAATATAGGTATATAAGATAAGCCATATGACTATGAATTAAGTGAAATTAAATGGTGTGAATGATATGACAGAAAGTTATAAGAGAATATGTTATGAGAAGATATAAGAATAAGTATAAGCTATGTGATATGTGAGTATTATGAAGATGTTCTACATGCAAGTGATCTACGTGTATGTGTGATTTATATGGAAATGAACTACTTGACTACGTGTGATCTTATAAAAATGTAATAATAAGACATGTGACAAGAGATGTGTGATTACATGAAGGTATGATATAAGCTATGTGAAAGGGATCTATATGCCTATTTGATATGAATGTGTGAATATGTGACAAACATAAATATTAATGTCCATGTTATGTGTCTTGAGAGCTAGAGGTATAGTTGGCATGCCAAGAGTCGAGGGTCTACGCGGTCATTCGGGATATATATGTATTCTTTGAAACATGTATGAGGTATTTTGAGACACATATTTGGTCCTTAGCATATGTATATGATTCTTAAGGAATTTTCTACGTGGTCATTAGGGACATTTTATATGGCACTTCGGTGTATTTATACGAGCTGTGGTGACAGCATTAGTGCACAACCTCTAGAGACTCACACATCAATAGTTCTCACATATGTACATGGGCTAATCAAGAAATGATAACAAATATATATTGTGATATGATAAATTTTATAGCAAGGACATGATGAGGTATAGGTATAGTATATGATTAAGAAAGTTAAGTATATGTGCTATATGATTAAATGATAAGTGACTAATGATGATTTATATGCATGCATGTAATTCTTATTAGATAATCTGATAAGATTTATATGATGATGTATGTATTACTTGGTTAATTGAATAATATGTTGAGTAAGAAAAAAATAAATAGATATAAGAGAATATAATTATAAGATATAAATGATAAGAATATTGATAGTGGAATAAGGTTAGAGATTTAAAATAATGTGTGATATATATATGCGTATAGTCTATTATATATAATGTTATATTGTTTTGGATGTGCCATTATAAGATGATATGTCATACATGTTTAAGCATTTAGAGTTTCCTTTATTAGTTTAATGCCTCACTAAGTCATAGACTTAGCGTGTGATTGTTTCACACGTAGGTTACAGAAGCGAAGAAGAGCAAGACACGTCAGCATCTCCCTTACAAAATTTCAGATCAGAAAATAGATGATTTAAATGTGTTTGGTTATTTTGAATATAGTTGGCATGTACTAATTAATTGAGTTAAAGATGTTCTGATCGATTTTGGTTTTTGTGGTCAATTTATGTAAATAAACCGCTTTTACTTTAATGAAAGTTTTAATTTTTCTTTGAATTTTTGTCAAGAGTCAAAGTTTGAAAAGTCAATGTGACAGCTCAAACTCGTATTCGGGTCGGGTATGGGTCTGAGGGTGTTACAGAACAAGCAACTAATAGAAACGAAAAGAATGTTATTTATTAAGGTGATTAAAAAAGTAAAATTTGTTTTAAATACTATCAATACTATTTTATAATGAACGCTCAATTATCTTACTAGAGACATTAGTGCTCGAACTCGTGAGCTCAAGGAACAACAATGATACCTTAACCACTGAGTTAAGTTGGTTCATATACTTTTATTACAATATAATTTTTTTATTAATTTATATTTAAATACATAAAAAATTATATAAAAAATAATGATATTCATCCGGATTGCATTTATGCAAGGCACAGATTATACTCTAACCTACAGCTTATTGCATGAAATTAACTAAAATAATTTCTTAAAAGTAATTTGGACCATCCCTCATTTTCTTTCATGTTATTCCGATTCTCTCCCTGCACTTTATGTAATTATCCTCTCTCTCTTTCTCACCTTATTTATATTCATATATTTTATTACATTTATGTGGTCAATTAAACTCCTACTCATTTTCTTCCTTCCCAAACATCCCTAGTATCTTAAATATTATATATAAAAGAAAATTTGCGGTGTATGAAACAAGCTGTCAAAGAAACACAGATTTTATCATCTTTGAGCAACGGCTTTTTGATTATCCCCATTTTGCCCTTCCTTTGCACACCTATCATCTCTAACTTACACTAGATCTTCTTCTAAAGATGATCAGCTGGGGCGATCTTTACACCGTCTTAACGGCGGTGATTCCGTTATACGTGGCTATGATCTTAGCTTACGGCTCCGTTCGTTGGTGGAAGATTTTCTCGCCGGACCAGTGCTCGGGAATCAATCGCTTCGTTGCTATATTCGCCGTTCCTCTCTTGTCTTTCCATTTCATTTCTACCAACGATCCTTACGCCATGAACTTCAAGTTCATAGCAGCGGATACTCTCCAGAAACTCATCATGCTGTTTGTGCTTGGGTTGTGGGCTAATTTCACCAAAAATGGAAGCCTCGAATGGATGATTACTATTTTCTCGCTATCCACGCTTCCAAACACTCTCGTCATGGGGATTCCACTGTTGATCGCCATGTACGGGAAGTACTCGGGAATGCTGATGGTTCAAGTCGTTGTGCTTCAATGTATTATCTGGTACACTCTGCTTCTTTTCCTCTTCGAGTATCGTGGTGCCAAAATACTCATCATGGAGCAGTTCCCTGAAACCGCGGCTTCCATTGTTTCGTTCAAAGTTGATTCCGATGTGATGTCTCTCGACGGCCGTGATTTCCTCGAAACCGACGCTGAAATCGGCGATGATGGGAAGCTGCATGTCGTGGTGAGGAAATCCAATGCGTCGAGGAGGTCGTTGGGGCCTTGCTCGCTCCCGGCATTGACGCCGAGGCCATCGAATCTCACCGGTGCCGAGATTTACAGCCTGAGCTCGTCTCGGAATCCTACTCCGAGAGGCTCAAATTTTAACAACTCCGACTTTTATTCCATGATGGGATTTCCTGGAAGGCAATCTAATTTCGGTCCAGCTGATTTGTACTCGGTTCAGTCATCGAGAGGACCAACTCCAAGACCGTCAAACTTCGAAGAGAATTGTACGGTCGTCTCTCCACGATATGGGTTTTACCCGGCACAGTCGGTTCCTTCATCGTATCCTGCTCCGAATCCTGAGTTTTCATCTCTCACGAAGAACACCAGTAAAAATAGCCAGTCCCAGCAGCAACAACATCAACGGCAGGAGAGTAATAAAACGAATCATGATGAAAAGGAGCTGCACATGTTTGTGTGGAGTTCCAGTGCTTTGCCGGTACCGGGAGGCGATGGAGTCCACGTATTTGGTGGGACGGGATCCGAGCAATTTGGACGGTCTGATCAAGGTGCTAAAGAGATCAGGATGTTGGTTGCTGATCACCCTCAAAACGGGGAAAACAAAGGTATACATGTAATTAACTTATTTCATTCTTTAATTCATCTAAATGGCTTTGATTTTTCTTCAAATTTGTGCTAATTATGGTGTGAAGCTATGGCAGGCAGTGTTGACTTCAATGGAGAAAACTTTATCTTTGCTGGGGAAGATGAGACGGAAAAAGAAGGGCACAGTGAACTCAATAAGTTGAGGTCCAATTCAACAGCGGAGCTCCACCCTAAGACCGCCGCTGGAGCACCTTCGGGTGTTGGGAAACAAATGCCGCCTGCAAGTGTTATGACCCGGTTGATCTTGATCATGGTTTGGCGCAAGCTTATCCGGAACCCCAACACATATTCCAGCATCATCGGACTGGTTTGGTCCCTAATTGCATTCAGGTGAGTTGATGCAAACTTTGTTCAGTGTTCACCCTTCATTTGGGTATCTTCATATGTCATTTATTTACTAGGTTGAGTTATTAATTGCAGGTGGCATGTGAATATGCCGAAAATATTAGAGCAATCTATTTCTATCTTGTCAGATGCTGGACTAGGAATGGCCATGTTTAGCTTAGGTGAGCATTTTTTTTGTTAATTGACAATTATATGGTGTAAGTCCTCGTTGTTGATAACTTTATTTTATATGGTGAAAGGTCTGTTTATGGCTCTGCAACCCAAGTTGATCGCTTGTGGCAACTCTGTAGCTACCTTTGCCATGGCAGTTAGATTCTTGACTGGTCCGGCCGTCATGGCTGCCGCTTCGATTGCCGTAGGGTTGCGTGGTACCCTCCTCCGCATAGCCATTGTTCAGGTACAAAGAGAAGCAAAAAGAAAAACTTAACTTTCCTTCATGACCATTTCGCTTCTTTGAATGTTTAAGTAATTTTCATGTAATAGGCTGCTCTGCCTCAAGGAATAGTACCCTTTGTGTTCGCCAAGGAGTACAATGTTCACCCTGCAATTCTTAGCACTGCGTAAGTAAACGATATCAATCAACGATGCTATTCATGGTTAAAATATGTGTGAATGTTTAAAAAAAAATGAAAGAGCTGGATAGAACTGATATCTTGAACTGCAATTTTGCAGGGTCATCTTTGGGATGTTGATAGCATTACCAATTACACTGGTGTACTACATTCTTCTAGGATTATAGAGGTTTTTTGTGTGTGTGTTCTATATAGTAAGGGGTTGTTTTGGAAGCAAAGCATTGACCAAAACCGGATTAATTACTTGATGAAAACATGAGGATTTTCCGGGAAAAAAAAAGAAGATTTTACTATCTGCCGAAGGGCTCCAATATTTTTGGAGCTGAATGTCGTCCCCTAATATAAGGATCAATGCCCCCCATTAAAAGCCAAGTTTCCTAGAGAAGAAACCAAGGAGCAGAAGGGATGCATTGAAGAGGAAAACCAGGGTTTCGCTTAATCTTTCTTGTGCTTTGTTGTAAAGTTTAATTTCTGAAATCGAATGGAAGAAAAGGGTTTTCTTTCTCATATTTTGTTGTTAGTGTTGGTTTTGATTTTCCGTAGAAGCAGCAATTATTTGCGCTTGTCGTCTTTAATTTGATTAATTTTAAAAAAAAGGGGTTTATTGCTGCTTAGTCATTCGGCTTTAATTAGATTTTTTTTTTGGTTTAGACAGAGACATTTCACTAATGAAATTTCACGCAGAGGGAAAAAAGGCAAATTCATAGTGAAAAGGTCAAAAGCAGGTAGCTCGGGTGGGGGATAAAAAATAGCCACAAATCCTACCCTACAGAAAACATGTCGCCAATCTAGTCAGGGTATACGTGGTGATTTGGTCAAAAATTTAGACCCTCATCTGTCAGTATTATATCTAAAAATTCCTAGTTTTATATTAATTTATTTTAGGGAAAATTACACATTTAGTACCTAAGCTATCAGTTTTAGTCCATTTTAGTTCCTATACTTTCAATTTTTTTAAAACTATATATAATATTTAGTTTTTGCTTCATTTTATTAATTGTGTTCGAATTTAACGTTAAGTTTTGAAAAAAGTTGAAAGTTTATATACTAAACGCGTTAAATTTTATGAAAAACAACTTAAAAAATTTACTAACTTTTTCCAAAAACAAATATTTCCTTGAAAAAATAATAAAGCATGTGAGTACAATTATTTATGAAAAAAATGATACAAGATATTGAAATCACCAGTTTTGTTGTTGTTATTATTATTATTATTATTAAAGTTACAAAAATACAAAAAGGTAAAAAATAGGGACATATCCATGAAATTCAGTTGCCTTGCGGCATGCACCAGCGCTTGAGACGTCGGTCGCCTGCCACCACGGTTTGCGCCAGCGTCTGACCTGTCGGTCACCTGTACCAAGCTCCCATCAACAGCTTGCAAGAAAAAACAAATATAATTGGGTTATAAAAAATCCCAACATCACATTTGTAAGGGGGCTCTCGAAAAAAATCATCACATTTGTAGCAGAGGGCTCTCCTGATTCAAAGAAAAAGCAATATACAACTTTATTTCCAACATTTGTTTTTCTTCTTCAAATTTTTTTATTTGTATTCCATTCGAAAACTAACCAAAAAATACAAAGAAACCAATCACCTTTTTTCATCCTCATATTAATTCCAACCAAGCAAAAACAAGTGCAAAGGAACGAAAAAATTGAAGAGAGAGGGGAGGGGACTTTACCTCTCGGTCGGAGGCTTCGTCGGCGTTCGGGAGGTTCGTTCGTCGATCCAACTATTGAGAAGAGAGAGCAGACACCGGTGAACCACATACTGAAAAATCATCTCGATCCAACGATGGACAGGCAAATCGAAGCCTTGAAAGCTGAAGGGTTTCGGCTTATTTCACGGCAGAGGAGTCCGAATCTCGCGAAACGGACGTCGGATCTGTGCTCCCTGTGCCGAGACGAAGCTCCCTTGAAAGCTTGGAGGCCAATGGCCAAAGGCGGCCGGCGCAGTGATCGACATGTGGCGCAATGTAATACCCCAAATTTTTGTCTTATTACTAAAATATAAATTTTGAAAGTTTGGTGACTAAAGTGTAAACTTTGAAAAGTTTAGGGACTAAAAATATAATTTTTAAAATTTATATATTTTAGCCTATAAATGAATAGTTTAGCTTAAAATAAGAATTTTTGTGGGAATCATATTTTCGGTACATAATTTATGTTAAAAGCTATAAAGCGATAAAGTTCGGTATTGAAATCAGATAATTGAATCGAATCGTAATTTTACGAAAATTTGAAGGATATTAGAAAATGGTTGGAAATATTATTTTCATATTTTAGATCAGATAAATTTGGCTCAAAACATTGTAATTTTCAGATTTGACTGAACAGAGGCATTTTAGTGACTAAAATGCAATTTTTGAAAATTGCTTTGACAAATTAGAAATTCAAAGCCAAGTTGATTTATCTTTGATCAAGGATTATTTTAATGGAAGATAATACAATGGCATTTGGTAATTTTCAAGATTCATTAATGGTATTTTTGTAATTTCTCATTAATTGAATTTTATTGAATTTTAAATTCAATTAAAATAGATAAATGTCATGTGTACTATCAATTAAATACTAGAATAATCAAGATAATTAGCATATTTTCAGCTTCATTCTTGCTCTTGGCCGTAACTACAAGTTCTCCTAAGATAAGAATTTTATTTTGATTTTTCAAGTTATATGATTAGTTTTTGGATTAAACTATTAGATATAGAATTAATCTACATGAAATTCTCTATCAATTGATATAAGTATTGCATGGTGAGGAAATTTATGTGTTGAGATTTGATGATTAGGGTTTAAGGAGAGTTTGGTGATCTTGAATAATTGATGAAGGGTTTTTATGTTTTTGAAGTTGGTGATTATTTTAAAAGCATGTATAATGATTAAAATTATTCATACATGCATATATAAGGTTTGGACATACTAGGGTTTGTAAGAATGATGGGATTTTGAATCAATTTGATGTAGTGATGATTGGAAATGCATGAATTTAATCATAGGAGGTTGAATTCATGCTTGATATTGAACTAAAAGTCCCCCTTAGGTGACATGAAGCATTCAGCCATAGGGAAGAAATTGGGGGGGAATTTCGAAAATTTTTGTATGGAATAAAAATGATATTAGAAGTATTCTATGTGATTTGGAGATTGATTTGGATCAATATGGAACCTTAAAAGTGAAAAAGGGCTAGTTTACAAGTATTTGGAATTGTGGGATATTATTGTAATAATGTAATATTTGAAGGTTTCAATGTTGATTTTTTATATTTGAAATGCTGTAAATTAAGTTGGGAAGTTGTTTGGAACCAAATTGTAAATTTGGTGAAAGTTTGGGTTGGAATTCGAAAGATCCTAAGAAAATGGAGACTTGTATGCGAGTTATTAAATGTAGAAGTATCATTTGGGTAAATTATTGAATGCTGAAAAATTTATTAGAATGTTGAATTTTGAATTAAATATTGAGTTGGGGTTGAATGACAAATTTACCAAATTAGGTGGTTAAAGTTGAAAAGTCTAAAAAAGTTTAGGGTGAAATTGTAAGCTTTTGAATGTTTAAGTATTGATTTGAAGATTTTATTGAGGTGTTGGAAATTTTATATGAATAATGTGATATGATCATAATAGTGAAACACTATTATGAATTTAACGAGAAAAATTGAGGTGAATTTTAGAAAGAATTCAAAATTTTGGTTTAAGTATGTAATTGGCAAAAGTCAAGGGATTTAAGTTTGAAATAAATATTTATGGAAGCTAAAAGTATTTTGAGAAGTTTGAATTTTGGATGGAAGCATGATTTAAGTTTGTATCGATTTAGTATTAATTTTTATTGTTATAGACTTTTATATTTTAAGTTTAAATTATGTTAGTATGATACTAACATATAGTTGAATATTTTATATTATTATGTTATATTGTCATACTACGATAAACCTAGCGATCCGAACGACCCGAAAGGAAAGGAAAAAGTACTCGAATAAAGAATTTTCATATAAAGGTTTGGTAGTGAGGCAAAAATGGGTGCAGTTTATTTATTTAATTAATTTGATCGATGACGACTTGCGATAAGTCAACCTCACATTTTTTATTTCAAGGATATGAATTATGTTTTGATTATAAAATTATATATGTAATATTTTAATAAGCTTTATGAATGATTTTGGATATAAACTGCTCATGTTATGTTGTATGAGTATAATATGAATATAACTCATATTTTTATATAATTTTTATCAAATGATTATGAATTGAAATGGAAGCCCATAATATGTTGTATTGAAAGTCAAAGGTACAATTAGCATGTCATAAGGTGGAGTGATTATATTTTGATTTTGATATATTGTGGTGTATAGGTGAGTACACTAGTATATATTCCGATGTGATTCCACTTTGTGTGCATATTGTGATTTTTGATGTGATAACACTATGTGTGCTATATGTTCCGATTCTGATGATATCACTGAGATATTTATTGTGCACACTCATATGACTCGCATACCTTATATTTTCTTGAATATACTTTGGGCTATAAGAATGAGATATAAAAGTTCTGAAAATTGCCTAACTGAAAAAGGAATGTTGACAGATTATTCTGTTTGATCTGACTTATTATGATTTTGTAAAAATCATAAGGTTATTTTTTTAGATTTTTGATAAAGATTCAGCCTGAGATATCTGGTTTGAACATTCTGAAAGTTTTGTATAAATTGTTTTTAATTTTTTTTATATATTCTGATACTTTATTTATTTATTCTCACCTTTAGTATTATTGCCTCACTAAGTTGTATTTAACGCGTGATGGTTTCATGCTTAGGGTCTGATAGAGATATGAACGTACTGTGACGAGCCTCCCAAACATCTTGAGAAAATAATCTAAAATATTAGTATCAGTAAGACATCATTGAAGTTTCTTTTGACTAGTAGTGACATGTATAATTATGTTACCAGTATGCTTTATCAGTTTTGATTAAATCGTTTGTAATAGTAAATTAGGATTGTTCATATTGACTAGTTTAGTTAATCAGTATTTGGTGTGGATAGAATTATATAATATTATGTTTTTCTTTAAATGATACAAAAATTTAAGTAGATATAAATAGTTTTAAAGTTGAAAATATGAATGTTTTAAAAGCAACAAAATTTTAAGCCATTGTGAATAGTTAATATTAGTCAGTTGGATGTGACATCTATGGCTTGCATTTTTATATGTTTACGGGCTATGGGTGTTACACGCCACCACCGGACACTCACAATTAGAGAGAAGGTAGAGAAACAGAAGCGAGGAGAGAGAAAGAGTTCGGTGCAAAATGAAAAAATGGACAATTTATAGGCATTACAAAATGGTGTCATTTTGGCCCTTAGCTAAACAACGTCATTTTGCACCCCTCCTCTGATGTTGTGCGTATTGGGAGCTAGGGGGCTAATTACGCGCGCAGCCCCCTTGGTTTCCTCCATGTTTGTTTTGGTTACCTTTTTTTATTTATTATTTTATTTACTTATTCTGATTTTT